TTCCACAATATATAAATTTAAGAGAAATTTAAAAAATGCCACTTTTCAAGTGTCACTTTTCAAAAATACGACTTTTTCAAAATATTTGCAAAAATACCACTTAAAAAAAAATTATTATATCATTTATATTTGGGTTAACTACTGTATGTTGTATTATGGTTTAGTTTTGAGGGTTTAAGAGGTTTTAGGGGTCAACATTTTTTAGGGTTTATAATTTTAAGATTTAGACTTTAAAAATCCATAATTAGTGGTATTTTTGCAAATGGACACCCTAAGTGGCATTTTTGCAAATGTACACACCAAAAATGGCATTTTTGCAATTGCCCCTAAATTTAATATAGTACATCACAGATATGTAAGAAGATAAATGGAAAAATAAGTATAACACAATTTTAAAATTAAACAAAACGTTATAATTCAAACAAACAAATGGCAACTCCTCTTCCAACCCATTATCAACCGAGACTATCGAGTGGTCGGAAGACACGTACGTGAGCGTAATATTTGTATAGTTAGTTAATTACTCAAAACGTACGAAAGTGTACACAAAACACAAACGTAATGTATAAATTATCATACACAAAAAATACGTATACACATGACCACACACCATATACCATAATACGACAGAAGTTATGCTCAGATTTCTTTTTTTGGTTTTTTGATAACCAATTTATGCTCAAGATTACATACTACTATCTAATTTTCTTATTAAAAAAACTAGTTCGCCCTAGAGACTCTTTCAGGCACGAAGACCGAGATAGCTGCCGGATCAAGTATCACCGAGAATATGAAGTTCCTCCACTGTAGCTCCACCGCCGATCAGCCGTCTTCGTGAACATTGCATAGTTTCTCCTTTCTCGGGCCTTTCATTAGCTTGCTCGAAGAACTTTGTCTCACCTTCCGTCGGAAATTATCATCGCCGGCGAGATCTATTACACAAGTTTCGTTACAACATTTCGAATCAGCGCCTCCATGAGCTTCTATGACGTTGCATCGATGTTTGGTAACGAAATTTCAAGCCTCGTTCCAACAAATCGAACAAATCTGCTCGTGCTTCATGCTCACCGTCGGGTGAAGATCTTTCTGAACCGGCCTCTACCACCGAAACCGCCTGACCCACCGGACCTTCCGGATCCTTATCTACATCTGGAACCCACCAGATCCATATCTCTCGGTATTTCGCCTCCGTCAATTTTAATCCCTTTGCTTCCCTTGTTGTGGTCGCAAGCCTTGCAGCTTCGACGACTTTTCCCAGATGTTATCGTCGCCGACACTTAGTAACAGATTTTGCAACCACCGGAGTGGTCGCAACTCCGACGAACTTTCCCGTCGGCTTCCCTTTCATCGACAACATCACTTGTTATTTGGGTGAAGTGGCCTTGACCCATTCTGCTGATGTGATGGCTTATGGGGGCCTAGAAAAATTTATAAAAAATCTCAGCAGCCCACTTATGCCTCGATCTACTCTTGTATTGAGAATCATGTTGCACAACCTTACTCTCGCAGTAGATCACTTGTAGGCTTTTCTTTGCCATGACCTCTACTCAAATTTTCTCCATATCGGACATGGAGAGATCTTTATCACCATCCTCCCTCCTCGGGGAGAGAACTTTTTCATCACGTCCCTTTTCTATGAAAGGTTATTCTTACTCGGTTCCAATACCGAAAAAAATTTCCAACATAGTCATCGTTTGGTCTTCTGTGTAGCGGTCTCCATGGGACCAGAAGAAGCCATCTGTTTCATTTCGACGCGATCCGGAGACGAGGATTGGTATTCAACGTCACACTTTAAAATGACTAAGTTTCAATATTCCGGCTATGCCGCGAATTTTCTACCGACGCATTCGCGTTTTGCCTCAAATTCGCTGTCAATCTTCTATGAAGAATTATCTGTTTTCATTGTTTTAGTTTGTTTTATTGTAGCAACCAAAGAGGATGATGTCCCCTCTTCTAAATGTATCTCCAAATTTTAAGTTAATGAAGTTAAGTTTGTCCAATAAAAAAAC